TCTTTCAAGAAATGAATTGTTTATTTATCTAAGTAAAGCAGGAAACAATATGTATGGCTTTGATTGGAATATTGAAGCTTAGAGGCTCAAAATGAAAATGACCAGTAAAACAAAGGATAATAGAGGAATATTTAATACAAAATTTGCTTAAACATTTTTAGTCACTTACATTTTTGCAGTAATTAAAAAAATTTAACTTGATTCTCGAAAGGAATAAATATACATAACTCAGCTACTGTAAATATAGCTAAATCCTATGAGGGATTGGCAAGTGAAGAGTACAAATTCTTTTTATTTACTTCTTACGCTATTTTCATAGCAGTCGTATAACTAACAACAACACTTAATTAACAATTGCATCCAAAAGTACATTTTAATATTAAATTTTGACAAAATGTAATGTCTTTCAGTAGAAAAGGGCTAAATTTTATTGATCAGAGCAATCAAACAATTCAAATTTGAAAGTCAGACTAGAAAAGTTATATCATTCAACTTTGTAGTTCTAATTAAAAGATTTTTTCAAGAATTTTAAATCCTTAGTTTATTTATTTTAAAATATTGACATTAATTATTCTTGAATTAGGCTCTAGACATAACATGTATCAGTATAAATATTAGTTTAAAAAAGCAGAAATAATATGTTTTGAGTAATGTAAACATGTGTTTAATTGCCTTTTAACTTCAAAGAAAAAGAGAGAAAAAATGCTAAATGAAAACAATAAAATTTTACTTTAATCAACCATTAAATGAAATTTCAAAATTTATGAAACTCTTTACTTCTTTAGAAATACATAAATTAAGAGACAAAACATTATGAGAAAAAATTTAGGAATAAATGTAGAAATAAAAGAAAACTAATGCTACCTCATATGTAGTTAGCCTGTCAACATAAATTAGAAGCTTCTCCTCCAGATTAAGTCTGAAAATTAATAATATATATTTTGCTACACACTGATTATGTGTGGACCCTGTTGTAAAAAGTCATAATAGTTTAGAGATAAAGCAGATTTTCCTAAAATATATATTTATTATAACATATTTCTGCAAGGAAAACTTAATTGTTCAGAAATTGCAGAACATTACTTGAGCAAAATGGATTAATCACTTTTTAACCTATGAGGTCTTCATCTAATCAATTTATGTTATTTTATAGTAATTTTGAAAAATGTGAGCAAACAATGCTTCACTATGATTACTTCTACACCTTCTGAAAAATATAGCTTAAATAATTTTTATATTGTTTTAGTTAAAATGGTTACAAAATAGTAAGGATTTAAAAAAATTTTTTATTTATTTAAAATTGGGCATAATAAATTTTAATGGTTTGCTTTTAAGTAAAGCAGAATATTATAAAACATTAATTACAATACAATTGTTTAAAATTTTAATGAATACTATTTTTAACTAAAACATGCAAATTTCCTCATAATGAAAATTTTAGTAGAAATTAACTAATGTTACACAAAAAAGAAAACTTCAACAATCTTGTGAATTAAAAACAAATTCCTTGACTATGCCAATACAATAGTATATATTTATACAACCTATTTTTCGCACTAATTTTACTATAAACATAATTTACATTAAGCTATAATCTAAATATCAATCTTACTATCAATTCTAGCATGCATCATTTTAATCAATCCAAATATGAATTATCATATATCAATTGCTATAAGAAAGGTATGAAGAGTTAACAGCTATAATTACTTTGTAAAAATAACCTCTTTCAATAACTCAGCTCTCTTTTTCTGCTGTTTTATCCTTCTCGTCTCATAAATCTCACCAGCATCATAATTGATGTCGTAAGCAAAATTGACCATGTATTCATTATCAAACTCATCATAAAATGATAAGATAAACCTAGGAATATTTAAATGTACTTAATGTATTCAACAAAGCAAACAGCAAAGGAAATTTTTTCAACTAACTCATAACAATAAGCTATATATACAATAGATATAAACTAATGTGACATGTGTCCTTCTCAATAAGTGATTTATGAAGGGGAGTTTGCCTAACTGCTTGAATCAAGTGTTCTCTTGTCTTCTGAGTTTTCTTCAAAATTAAAAGTCTATTAGATCCGCTATAGATTTGTTATTTAATGTTAAATATGTTAATGTTAAATAAGTTAATGTTAAATATAAAATAAATGCTTTTCCTAAAAATTGTCTAAAACATTTTAATGCATGACTTGCCCAAGTTATGCAAAAGTTCCAAACATGGCAACATTTTTTTATACTTATATGCCGACCAGGAATGAAAAAATTTATTCAGGAATTGCGCAAACTTTAATACCGAATTATTACCCCTTCCAATTTGACAAAAAATTGCAAAGATGCTGAATAAACTGTACCAAAGAGAAGGAGAGAAATCTATTGCATATAATAAAACCTAAAAGTTACTTAACAAATTAATTATATAAATGAGAATTTATAAAGTTTCTCTTTTTATTCTGCTAGTCGTGCTTATTTTTATAACAACAGTCAACCACTGTGCATAAAAAAATAATAAATATACAAGTTAAAATTGAAATGTGAAAGGAAGCATACGCATCTTAAGACAAGTAAAAATTTCTTTTGGGTATGTATTTTGTACACTAACAAACTTAGAAAGGTAAGTGAATATTTTGAGATTTTACAAACCCCAGAGAAAATTGATATACCCTTTGATTTATAGAAGGGTAAGTAAATATTTTGAGGTTTTACAAACCCCATAGAAAAGTGACATACTATATAGTAATTTATGGGAAGGTAAGTAAATATTTTGAGGATTTTACAAACCCCAGATAAAAGTGACATATTATGTAATTCATAGAAAGGTGATAAATATTTTGAGATTTTGCAATCCCTAAAGAAAAGTCACATGCTATGTGATTTAAAGTACAATTAATACCTTCCTTGATCCTCGCCTCTACCAACGGCAACGAGTGGTTTTACATCTTTGCCTCCTCTCACACCATAGTCAATAAGTTCTTTGGCAGCTTCGAAATTCTCCGACACTTTTTCTAGGCATTCATGGAGAACCCAGGATCACTTTTTGATTTTACTCTAAAAAATTAATAAAACAATGATAACAATGATGAATAAACAATGATAAATAAAACAATGGTGCCAAAACTCTGTGTTTAAAGAAATCTTTTTTTATTTAAAAACTGTTGTAGGAGATGTAACTATATATTTTATTTTTATAAAATTATCTAACATTCTCAACAAAAATTTATTTTTAGAACAGTTAAAATGCAAAAGATTTTAACCTAAATTTATTAACAGTAGCAGTATTTTAAAACATTTTTCAAATTCAAAGTAAATAATTCATTTGCCAAAGCATATAATATTAAATAATATATGCTTATCAATACACTGTTTTTGTTCATTAAAAACTTAGAAAACTAACAAATTTTGAAATATGATAAAGATAAAGCATTTGTTAACCTCATTTTAACTATCTAAAATTTAATCATGCATTATAAATTGCAAGCTTCAAGAAAAGTCAAAAGAACGAAGAACAATAATACCAAATTTTTAAATTATTATAACTCAATCAAAATTTTAATGACATTACAGTTCAACTTAACATATAAAAATTTTATATCAAAGTATTATATTAATAATGTATATAAAAGAATGAGTTCTTCATGTGAGTCAGTTTGAAGAAAATGTCACTCTTGAGCATTACTAATTAAGCATTATTAATTAATTATTAAGTGCATTTTAACGATTTATTGCTCAATAAGCATAATTAATTATTATTAACGTCTTATTAGCATAAATATTAAATACTGAAGAAATAAATAAGTTTTAGCACTAATGATTTAATAATAAATAAAGAATAAACTACTTTTTTGAAAATTATTTTTAACATAATCAAGCTTTAGCCATAACAATGCTTATAAATAATGCTAATATTACGCATTAGTGCTAATATTAAAAAATATATGCTGGTAATATAAATTGATTTGAAATATTTTTCAATCCTCCAGAATTATACTTTTTTATGTAAGCATTGTATTTTGAAAACATTAGAATCATAAATAAAATAATACAGTATACATACAATAAAAATTTGTTTACACTGGTAACAGAAAAGTTTTAAAAAATCTGTAAAATAAAAAACATAAAATTCAGAAAAAGGACCTCTTTCCCTTGGATTGTAGAATACAAATGAATTATTGAACAAGATTGAAACAAAATTTAACTCATTCTATAATTACATTTCCTAAATAATTTTAAAAACTATCAGAACATGCAGTTGTTCATGGTCTGTATTATTTTAAGACTTTTTAGAAGCATTATGACTTAGCTTTAAATTTACACACATACATTTATTTTATAAATATATTTTTGTAGTAGAGCAATAAAAGGAAAAATTAAGAAATCACAATTGTTCATTAAACTTATATTAGCAATAAGTTCATTATAAAATTTATTTTTTGAATACTTACTACTTTTTCATTAGATGAAATTTAAATTAAAGTATTTTCATACTAGAAAATTAAGTTACTTATATTATCACTTATTTTAAATTATTTCTATAAAAAAACTAATCTTGGTTTCGTTTAAAAAAAGTTGGGTTTAAACTGTGGTTTAAAAAACAGCTAACCCTAAAAGAGTCACTGAGCAGGGGAAACAGTATAAAAGTTGCATAGATTTTGTGCTGCAACTGTTCGACTCGTCTACAGTCAGTTAAAATGCGCAATTTTAGCATATAACATTAATGTCTTCACTAATTCTATTTTCTAGCATAACCTCAAGCTGTTATGATCCAATGAAAAACTTTCTTCTGCGCTCTTTAAAACTTTTTAACCGATCAAGTTTTCTGAAAGAGAGAAAGCTGATATACATCCTTAGAAGAGTACCTAGTACTGAAATGTTAGATTTATACATTCTAGATTAAAAAACTTATTGTTCAACGACGATTCCTGTAAAACATAATGATAAATACTTTATAACGTGTTAAATAGTGAAACAATTTGAAGGTAAATAATACCAGTGTTACCAAATAATTATTAATAGTCTCAACAGTAGCTGCCATTTTTCTCCACTGACGCTGGTACACAAGATCAGTATCTAAATTATAGGCCTGAGCAAGAGCCAATGCTTCTCCATATTCTTCGTTGTTAATCTTTGAAAAAAGATAAAAGAAGAAAATTAAGAAAATCCAGCTTGAAAGTTAGAATGCATTGGAAATACGGTATTATCACAAGAATACAAAAACATTAAATTTAAACTAAAAATAAAATAGTTTTTTTAATTACAATATCAATAAATTTAAACATTTGAAAACTTAGGAATATTCAAATATTTTTTAATGGTTCACGTTTACAAACATAAATGCTAAATATAAATAATTCTAATTAAACTAAAACACTTCAGCATAGTCAGTAAAATTCGAATAGTCAGTAAAGTTCGAAGCAAATAATAATAACAACACTAAAAACTAAAGTTCAGTATGAATAAGGGAAAAGTTTGACAAAAATTACTTTCATGTCACCATTTTCTGAAAATCAGCAAAAATTCCTTAGGAATATTTTTCTTAAGCTGTATAAAATCAATTGAAATGTCTACTTATTTTAGTTTTAGCAAAGTTACATTGTTTATTTAAGCCCAAAATTAGATTACTTCAGGAAAAGTCAAAATTAGAACAAGGTGGTGCGTTGTTACTTTATTACGTAATCATAAGAGTTATTTATTTTTGGCGAGGAGGAAAGAGAGGGTGTCCAAAGTTAAGAAAAAATACATACTTTATTTGTACGTCTCCATATAAATCGAAGCATTTTTTAAAATTTTTCTAAAGATAACTTTTTCTAAAGATAAAAACTAATTTTAGTTCATTCGTAAATGAAGAGAGTAGAATTTTAATAGATGGATGACACTAATAATGCAAAATACCTATTAAAATTTTTTAACGTTAAAAATATTAAATTTAACTTAGCAAGCTCATATTGTATTAACATTTGTTTTTAATAAAATGCTATTCTTTTTGATAATTTTTTGTTGCTTCTGTACTATGTTTATTCTAACTACTTATATCTAAACAAATGCGTCAAACATTTCAAGGAAGGAATTATTTAAAACAATTAAAAAGTTTAAAACTAATGCATTTCATCTTATTTGCTGAATTCATGACTTTAGCATATCATTTAAAAGACTATATTGCGGACTCTTAATTATTATTTTAAATAGCTAAATATTTTCTTGAATTTTGAAAAGAATTAATTTTCATTTACATTATTTAAAGTTCAAACTAAAATTTGTTCATTTTCTCAATATGGCCTAAAAGGAAAATATAAAAAACGAAAACGTCTTAGATACTTCTCAAATATTTTGGAATACGGCTTTTTTTTTTTTTTTTTGAAAACCGATTAAGATCATTTCTGAATTAGAAGACCTTTATCTTTTTTTGAAGAACAAATTCTTGTGCTCTTTTTTGTTAAAATTTTATAACCTTACAGTAACCACGAAACTAATTAGTAACGCTTATGTGGGATTATTAGTTAATAACACTTTGCAGTATGAAAACATTTATATCAAAACTAGTAAACAATTTACAAAAAAGAACTCAAATACGTTTCTTAAGAGGGAGTTTATTTTTTGCTTTGCTAAGTGACTGGAAGGGAACCAAAGATCTGAATTACTAAGATCTTATCTATTGAGCATTTTTTTTTCTCTCCTGTTGGCTTTTGCACTTTTCCAACTCTAAGCACTAGCAAAGTGCAGTTTTATACTTAATTATTACTCACAGTTCCAGTTATTCATGACGTGTGTTAATATTAAAAAAATGAAAAGGAAATTGCACAATTGGTATGCAATATGTAAAGCATAGCTTTCATGAGGTGAACCAGGTTCCTGCGATGACTGGTCGATTTCGCAACCGGCTCCCATCCACACTAGTGCTGACGTCATCAGTGGCAGACGGATCATGGGATAGAGTCCCCATCAGATTAACAGTGGGAGGTTTTACTCTCCGTGTAGTGCGAATTAGTTCTATCAAAAAAAGTCCTATATTAAGGCAAATTTTTTCGCAATACAGGAGTTCCCTTGTCTTCTAGATAGGGTTCAAAATTACAAGGCTTTGTAGTTCATTGGTAGACGTAAATCAAAAATTGGGTCAGCTGTTCAATGACGGTTATAAAATAAAATTGTTAAGGAGACATAACGATGGCTCAGCCGAAAAAGAATTCCCTTACCAATGAGGTGTCCTGGGTTCGATAACTGGTCTATATGGGTTCTACTCCCAGTTGGCATGGACCAGAAAGTTAAGCGAAAGATCATTACTGAAAATGGGTCGCAGATTAAAATCCCTTTACCGTTGGGCTAATCATGTAAGGTTTTCGTGATTTTTCTCTCGATGCCGTTTTCTGCCTAAGTGAAAAGATATATTCGACATTTATTGTCTTTTAATGGAATTGCGGGAAACATGTAGAAAATATCTTTCGAAACAGTTAAGAGGAGCAGCAAAAATATCACATTTGGTACAAAAAGTTACTTATTACTATATTGTGCAAAACCCTTTCCTTATAAAATGCTAAACATATAAATAATAGCAATTTAATAAATTATTCAAACCTCTGGTCGAAAATATAATGACATTCTATTAACAGTTCTGTAAATCTATTACTATAATAAACAAATATTTAATGTATGAAGTTTAATTTTCTCTTTTGTAATGTATACCAATGTTATGGAGTTTAAAAAATAGTTTTACTTTTACATAAAATTCTCAATTTGTTAAAATTTTTACAGATAATTTCAATCTTAAGTTTAATATTTCAATTTTTAAAATAATGGCAATTATACAATATTTTTTTCTAAGAAGAATATAAAAATTGTTGGGATAGGTTTCGGTATTCAAAGTACAAATCGAATATTTAAATAAGTCAAAGCTATAGAACCTATACCATTTAAGATTCAAAAACAACAAATTTATATTTTTCTTTCGAATGAAAGGCCGGGGGGGGGTCTAATTTCTAAAATGGTTATTATCAAAATAAACTTTATGTTTTATTGGTCAAAATTTATAGAAGGTAATATTTTACCTTTAAACAACAGCTCATTTTATTTTATTCCCGTCGTAGAACATTGATACCGTAGCCAATGTCAGCTCCAATATCCTTTCAAGCATTGGGACAAACTAGCTTTGGTGAAAGTCTTTTTGAAGGAACTAACCCACAATTGTGTTATATGGAGAAGAAAACCGCGAAAACCTCAAAGGGTCAACCCGGCAGCAGGAGTACAACATTAACACATTGTTGTAAGTCGTTAATCCGTATAAATGAAGGGAAATTTAGGATCTTTCATAAGCATTGCTTATTACCTTCCTCCCCTTTTGCCAGAAAAAATAAGCTTAGGAGATTTCGTTATATTTGCAAAAACCCGAAATTTCATGTAGCATGAAGTTGACTATGATGTATTATATAACAAAATACCGATCAGATCTATGACGTTACTTAATCTCATCATAAAAGCAATCTATTTCGTAAAATGCAAAGGAAATGATTAGATTTCAAAGGAAATTATTATTTAAAAAGGTTCTTTGGATGAAAAAAGCATTACTAAATTTGGTACCGTTACTTTGCATCATGAATATTCGTCTGCCTGTATAATTAAACCAGTATCAACCAAATTTTGGTTATCGAAAAAGTAAGCGTAAGGTAAGGTTCGAACCCTAGCGATGGCTGATCAATACGAATTTCGCATCCGGCTCGCACCGATCACAGTGCTGACGTAAAATATCCTCAGTGGTAGATGGATCATGGGTTAGACCCTTGCCGACAGTCTAACCGTGGGAGGTTTTCGTCTTTTCCTCTCCATGAAACGAAATGCGGGTTAGTTAAATCAAAAAGTACTTCACGAAGGCAAATTTCTCCCAATACTTGATCCAAGAGTTCCCTTGTCTTCTGGATTGGGTTCAAAATTACAAGACTACGGAGTTGAACATTAGTAGTCGTAAACCCCTAAAATTGGGTCGAATGTCCAACTACGGTTATAAAATGAAATTTACAAAGGGGTAGCAGTTAAATCAATTCTACAGATTCGGAAAAAGCTTTTTCAAAGAGATTTTCACAACTGATTAAATGGTAGTTAATTAAGCATATACTTTGTTCTTTGATGGACATTGGACAGGGGGACATCTAATAACCAGCGTGTAAAAATACGTACTTTTTACTTTCGTTAAAAGTAACGGAAGTAAGAAAATTGCCATGCGTGCATAAAAGCGAAAAATTTTCTTGATGGTATTTTTCCACTAACTATTTGGATAAAAAAAGCTTTTTTTAAGTTAAGGAAAATGAAAAAGATTGTGTACATCAAAATTCAAGTTTATTGGAATCAAAGTTTAAGAAAATATGCATCTTGTGTTCTGAAATCTGCTGTTTTGAGCGGAAAAAGAAAGCTTGCAAAAGGAACCAGTAGCCCCTCAGAACCAGTAGTTACTAAGAGTTTTAAATAGAAGTATAAATAGTATTACTCTAACTGGAATAAAAACTAAAATTGTTTTTGAATCTTAATTGAGAAGTTAAAATTGAATTTATTATGGAAACAGGCTCAGATCTTAAAATTTATAAAACATGATAATGAAATTCTTACCTGAATTAGGGAGTATCACATTATCAGAAAAGAAGGCTGCAACTTGTTCTGTAAAAATTGCAAATAAAATAATGTATAAATATGGTAAAAGGCATTTCAAACCATAAAATTCAATAAAAAATTCATTAAAAAATTAATGATGCTCATATTTTACAAAATTCATGTGTGCACGGTGTAAAAGATCATAAGAGCAGGGAAAAACGAGACAGTAACTTATAGTTTGTCTATTTAAAGAACTCCCCTTAGGACAAAGTCTAAAACCGTCTACTGTTATGGAAATCAGAAAACAGCAGAAATAATTAATCACAAGAGGGTACTTTTATTAACGTCAATGTTTCATTAAATTTGGTAATAAGCACTGCCGGTATTATGGTAATTGGTGTAGTTTTAATAGGTAGCAGAAATACTAATGGTACAGTGTATTTTATTAGTCTATTTGGTACCTATTAAAACTGCATCAATTCTGCGCAGTTTTATAATAGATACTGTTATTACAGATTTGTATCACTAATGTGAATTATTTTTGTACCCAATTCCTTCCAAAGGGTCAATTTTAAGAAGTAATCTAACCACACTATAGATCTGATTGGAAGGAAATTATAAGTAAATCAATCAAGCAATTTATTTCTGATTATTAGTCGTAAGTAAATTATACTTTTACAAGCTTTTAACTAATGTACTTTATTATACATACATATACCTATAAATTAATTATATGTTTTGCACTGAAATAATCATCTCATTTTCAAGAAAGTTGAATTCAAACATTCAAACTACTCATTTCTTTCCTACGGCATTCAAACATGTTTTGATTTTTGAGTTAGTGCCATCTTCAATTTTGATAGATTTTTTTCTCTTCTCTGAAATATTAGTTAATGTTGCATACTATTTCGCTTAAAGTTTAAGAAGAATTATAGTAAAAAATATATAAGGAGTAATCGTTATAGAAATTACTAATAAATTACTAATAGAATTGATATGGAGTTCACAAATTCTGATTTGTGATCATTTTAAAAAATAATTTCTTCTTGAAAAAGAAGACGAGGGGGTGGTTGAAAATCTTTTTGCGCTAAGGCTAATTTGCGCATGATGCTTTTAAGGAGTGCGTTTAGCAATCTTTTTGGAGATCTTAAGAAAGTTAGAATCTCCAATAAGTTATTAAAAAAACTGTTGCATGACTGGTGAGTAAAATTAAAAAATTGTAACTGTTAATGATAATTTGTATAAGAAATGGTACAACTTTGGAGCCCCTGGGTTTAGACAATTAAAAAAATTAAGATTATTAGTGATAATAAAACGTTGCGTGAAATTTTGAAACTAAATAACAAAAATATATTAAAAACTTAGCTAGCTATTTCTGTTTAAAATATTGAAATTCGTTAAAAAAATTCTCGAGATATAGAATAAGAATCAACAAATAAAATTAATATTACGGGGCTCAAGATTTTGAGAGCTTCCCTGAGCAAACTATATGAACCATATATCCTAGATAATGACTACCCCCTATATATAGGGGGACCGAAATACAAATCCGTCGAAAAAAAGGAACAAGTTTTTTCAGTGAAAGTATATTTTGTTGTCTGATTTCGTAGCTAAAGGTATATTTTGAACTAATTTAATACCGTATTTGAGGTCACTCTCTTGAACCATTAAGATTGAGTTTTAGAAAGTGAAGATTTGATTATTAGATTAAAAGTTATTCATGGTGGTATGCTTTTTTTTTAAATAATTTATCTTAGAATTCTGAATTTTTCACGATTGTTAAACAAAAGTACAATTCATCCTAGAATTCTAAATTTTTCACGATAGTTAAACAAAAGTACAAAAATGATTTAAGTGCAAAGATTTTCGTGATACATCGATTTTTTATAAATTAATTTTCTTTAGATTTAAATGGGTTACAGTAGTTTTGCTGTAACTTAAGATATTTTTTTTTATACTTGGGTTAAATTGCTCAGGATAAAACAGGTTATAACACGTATTTTTCTTCTCAGAAAATCGAAACTTTGGTAAGGAAAAATCCTCGCGATCCCTTAAGGGTGCATGATAGATGTGTGGTAAACAAAAGGTTCCTTCTTTTAAAGAACACGCAGAAATTTTAGGAATAACAGTAGAATTTCTTAGTTATGCAGAAGAAAACTTAAACAGTAGTCGCACACGCATTGTTTTATACGTTAAACCAGTGGTGCGCAAACTAGGGGTCGCCAAAAGTTTTTTGGGGGTCGCCAAATTTTTCTGAAATGCATTATCCCTGCATGCTGCATACCATACAGTGTACATATAAAGAGTGAAGCGCCGTCACTCACTGTTTAATTGCAATTTCATGCTGTCCACTTTTTCTTTGACAGTAATGCGTAACGTATGTAAAGTGTGAAGATGCAAGTTTTTCACTCCGTTAGATAGCGCCCTCTTCGCGGTAATTCGCCAGTTTTACTGAAAAGCGCCTATTTGACTAGACGTTAAACGCAGAGAAAGGGCAAAAATTCGCTTCCGTGATGAGCCAATCAGATGGCGAGGTACGCATTGTATCTGATAGTCAGAGTGAAGACGTGAAGTGTTCGCATGAAGTTGTAGCATGTAGCAGTTGGCCTGCAATTGTTTTAGTTTATCCTCGAGTTTTATCATGTGCCGTTGTGTATGTGGCCTCAGCCAGATTAACTGTGACTGTGTATTAACTGTTTAGTTTTAGTTTCAGTTTGCATTTATGTTTAGTTTCAGTTTGTGTATCTCGTTAGGTTGTCATTAAATGTGTTTGCGAGATGCTAGATGTTGCTCCTTTATTTAATAAGTATTGAAGTAATACTTAACCACACAATTTAAATTTGAATTTTTATATTTTTATCGGGCTTTGCTACTCTTTGTTATCAGGTAAGTACTATCATTAGAGAAAGATCTCTGATAATTTTATTGAATTTCTCCAAAAAAAAATTGTAAAATTTTATATATTATTTGTTTTAGTTTAAATAATTTAACCCCTATCTTAATAATGGATAAATGGATAATACGTACACCAGGTACATCTTCAGCTAACAAGCGAACAAATACTGATGAGGAGTCGCAAAATACTGAACTAAATGCCCGATCCAAAAAAAAAAGAAAATACAATGAGGAATTTATTAAGTATGGTTTTACATTTTGTGTTGTTGATGATGAATAACGCCCGATATGTGTCATTTGCAACGAAAAATTAGCAAATGAGAGCATGAAACCAGCTAAATTAAAAAGGCACCTGAAAACTAAACATAAAGAACTTCAAAATAAACATGCCGATTTTTTTCAAAGACGAGCTGAAAATCTGAAAATTCAAAGTGCACATTTAAAGAAATTTACAACAATACCTCAGAAAGCATTACGAGCTTCTTTAGAAGTTTCTTATCCAATAGGAAAAACAATGAAACCCCATACAATTGGAGCATCCCTTATCCTTCCTGCAGCAACTAAGATGACATCAATTATGCATGGCGATAAATATGGAAATTAACTAAAAACAATACCATTATCAAGAGATACCGTGTCTCGGCGGATTTCCGAAATGTCACGAAATATCGAGTCAGAAGTCATAAAACGCATACAAAATTCATCCGTATTTGCTTTACAACTGGACGAGACTACCGATATTGCTAAAATGTCACAACTAATTATTTACGTTAGGTTTATTTTTAATGAAGGTATAACAGAAACGTTTTTATGTTGCAAAATTTTGGAAGGAAGAACAACTGGAGAAAAAATATTCGAAGTAATAAATGAATATTTTGAACCAAAGTCCCTTACCTGGCCAAACTGTGTTGCGGTTTGTACGGATGGTGCTGCAGCATTAGCAGGTTCGAATAAAGGGCTCAGAGACTTAATTCAGAAGGTGGCGCCTCATATGGTATTTAATCACTGTATGATTCATCGGCAAGCTCTTGTTGCAAAAGATATGGATGAAGAGTTGCACAGCGTATTACAAGACGCTGTTAGTTCAATTAACTACATTACATGCAACAGCCACAACAGCCGTTTCTTTTCAATACTTTGTAATGAGATGGGCTCAACGTATGAGAGATTATTGTTACACAACGAAGTCAGATGACTTTCACGTAGGAAAATACTACGACGGATATTTGATTTGAGAAATGAAGTGTACAGGTTTTTAATCGAAAAGAAAAATAGATTGGCAAGTTATTATATCAATGTAGTTTGGCTAGGGAAGCTGAGCTATTTAGTTGATATTTTCGAAAAACTTAACGAATTAAATTTGAGCTTGCAGGGTGAGAATTCAACTATCATAACTGCAGCTAGTAAAATTCAAACTTTTAAGAATAAGCTTAGTCTCTGGCAAACTGAACTGAATAAAAACAACACCGACATGTTCCTTTGCTTTAACGATTTCATCAAGGAAAATAATATAGATATATTTACATTTAAAAACATCATTTCCAATCACATTGAAAAGTTACAGAAAAAATTTTCGAGAAGATTCGAGCATTTTTCTGAAAACGACCTTGGTTAGATTCGTGATCCATTTTCGTTTGATATATGCAGTTCAACTCTTCAAATTAGTGAGAAAGAGCAATTAATAGATCTAATTAGTGATTATACTCTTCGAAATCAATTGAAGACTCAGCCTTGCCAAAATTTTTGGCTATCCGTGGAAAAACAAAATCCCGTTTTATGCAAGAATGCCATCAGAGTGTTAATACAATTTGCATCAACGTATTTATGTGAAACTGGATTTAGCAAACTAGTTTCAATAAAAAATAAATACCGCTCGCGTTTAAACCTTGAAGATGATATGCGAATTGCAATTAGCAACATACATCCAAACATCGATGAGATAATTAGAAACTTGCAGTCACATACATCTCATTAAAGGGAAATTTACTGATTTTTGTGTTATACAAAAAGTATTTTCTTAAAATTATAAATAAAATTAAATTAATATGAGTCAAATATGATGATGTTTTATTCGATGAAACTAAAGAAATGCGCGAAATATACATCGTATTTGTGAACATTTATCTCTAGGGATCGCCAAAAATTTTATCTCTACGAAAGGGGTCGCAGTCGAAAAAAGTTTGCGCACCACTGCGTTAAACGAGTTCCTAACACGGGTTACGTTTTAAGGCGAAATTCAATTTTACATTTGTCTATTTCGCAGTTAAGCAAAAAATATATTTTACTGATTATTATTTGGAAGAAAGGTTTCACGGATTTTTTTGGTGGTTTAAGGGGATTTCTTACAGTAAACTTAAATTTGACGGCAGACAATGTTGTTGGTTGAATGGTTTATGGTGCTTCAGATTTTAAGAGGATAAGTTAGTTAAAAATTAATTTGACCATAACTCTTTTTGAGGGGTAATCTAACAATCATTTAATGACTACTGAGAAATCGAATTTTGAAAAGGTCATATTTTTAAAATTCGATTTTTCAAGAATTATTCGGCCAATTTTGCTCAAAATTTGTATTTTGCAAGTAAAATTACATCCTTTAAAGTGGTGCAAAAAATTATACACTTTACAATTCGAAACGTTTCAGACTTATGTTAAATAAATTAATATAAAATTTTAAATATTTAAAAAAGTTATTTTCTTAATGGATAGAACTGTATACGAGCTGTAACTGGGAAACCGAAACCGGTACGAGCTGTAACCGAACGAGCTGTAACCGAACGAGCTGTAACCGAACGAGCTGTAACCGAAAAGTGGCGAAATACTCAAAAAAGTAAAATTAACATTAAGGTAGGGGAGCACAACCTGCGGCCCGCGGGGCAAATGCGCCCCTCCGACTAAGGAAGTGCGGCCCGCGAGAGCTTCTAAACACAATAAAAAACAAGCAAAAATTTCAAAAATAATCAAAAAAATTTCGAACATTTTTAATCGCACTTTTGAGTCATCAAGTTTTGATGCACTCAATTTTTACAGATTCTATAGTAAATATTTAACACGTTTGCTTTAAGCCGATTTTATCGTAAATCTAGATGATTATTTAAGCAGTATTAACGCTTTCCAACGTAATTTCGAAAATCCCGAATTTTGATTACTACATTATTACGACACGCGAGTTTCAGATCGTCCATTTAAATAAACTCTTTTGGCTCACTGTATTTTTGTCAATTTCGTCGTAAAGTGATTTTTCATATTTTTTTTTTTCGGCAGCTATTGCTATGCATTTCCACATAGTATAAAAAATTCCGATGATTTTTATACGACATGCGAATTTTCAATCGCACATTTGACTTGCTTTATTCAGCATAAATTTAAGTGATTTTTTTGAAAATTATTTTATACTTTTCCATGATTTAATTACGATGTTATTACGACACGCGAATTTCTAATCGGGCGATACTTTATGTCGGTACAGTTTTATCGTAAATCCTAATTATTTTTCTCTCGCTTCTTCGGCAACGAATTAGATTTGGTCGAATGTCGTAATGAATGGTGATTTGGTCGAATACCGAATATTCGGCGGGAAAAAAATCGGCCGAATACTGTATATTCTAAGCCAAATAGTGACATTTTTTAGCAGCATAGCAACATTGAAACCGAAATTCCATTTCTAAGTATAATATTTTCTGGAAAAACGTATTCAGAAAACAAAGCTAAAAATTAAAGCCTATCAAAAACACTTTTGAAAATGCCGCACTCTACTATTACTTCAAATATATTTTGATTTCAATAATTTTCTCAAAATGATAGTTCGGACAAATAATTACTGACAATTATGACAAAAGCATGTTATGTAACATTTTAATTTAAAAGTTTAGGGTTAAAAAAGTGATAAAAGGGTTTAAAAAAATTAGAAAACAAGTAGCTAAAAACATATCAGTTAGCTGCTTCAAATATATTGTGACTTTAATCATTTTTTCAAAATGATAGTTTTGATTTTAAATGATAGTTCAGACAAATGATTAATGACAATAACATGTTATGTAAAATTTTAATTGAAAAGTTTGGGGTTAAAAAAAGTGATAAAAGGGTAAAAAAAAATGTTCAAAGATGAAAGAAAACTAAAAAACATGAAGTTAAAAACAAAACAGTTAGCTGCTTCAAATATATTTTGATTTTGATCATTTTCTCAAAATGATAATTCTGACAAATGATTCAAGACATTAACATGTTATGTAAAATTTTAATTGAAAAGATTGAGGTTAAAAAAGGTGATAAAAGGGTTAAAAAAATTTAAAAGATTAAAAAAAACTGAAAAAAATATGAAGTTAAAAACACATCAGTTAGCTGCTTCAAATATATTTTTGTTCTAATCATTTTCTTAAAATGATAGTACTGATTTTAAATGAAAATTCTCACAAATGATTAATGAAAATTTTCTTCAATTTACCCTCAGGCGTAGCTTCATCTTCGGGTTCAACCATTCCAGCTTCTCCAGTAACTTTCAAGAAAACCTATTTAATGAAAAAGAGATTGTGAATTCAGAGACTGCCACTAATAAAATCAGCCATTTTTTTAAATGTATAAAACATGTAAAAATCATCCTTTAATAAAAACTCGATTTCTGTTTAATGAAATCAAAGCAGAAAAATTATTGAATACCCATCCACATTTACTAATTATCACTCACTCACTGACTGAGAAATATTGAAGCATCTGTGGTCCGGGTCACCAATTAAAAAGGTAACTCAAGATAGAATTGAGTCAACACGTCTTATATACTAGTGAACTGATGTTTAATAATTGTAGTGACAGTTACCCTACGATACTTTCCCACCAGAATTTTATCAGGGATTAAATTAGATGAATGAATACCACTAGTTACCGTATTTGCGAAAGACCGGAACTCTTATTAAGTTCACCGAATTTCGAGCGTTTGCCGTGAGAGCTGTATTAAGTTCACGATTGTGTGTATGTGGTCTCTCCTGTGCTTCTACTAGCAGTCGAGTTTGTACAGCATCTCGTTGTGTGTACATGAGATGAGAAGCCACAATGTGAGGACGACCATGACACAGTCACAAATAGCAAGTCAACAGAGTACCCCAAGATAGAATCGAGTTAATGTGTTTTATATACTAGTGAATTGATGCTTAATAACCGTAGTTACGCTACACAGCCACAGCAAGTTTCAAAAGAAATTCAAATGTAAATAAATTAAAGAACAGATTGAACATCTTGCAAATTTAATGAAGTAAAGCTCAACTGAAGGGTACCTACTTCGTAAGCTATTTTTATTAAACTAAAAAGAAGTGAGCTAGACGAATAATTTTAAACTGCATAAAAAAAGAGATTTATTTGAATGACGTAATGAAAGTCTACCTCTTCGAGTGAAGTGTCGGATATGTCGTAACTGCTGATATGTAATTCGTCCAGATTACCGTCCATTGCTTTGAAAAGTCTCTGCAACTCTCCAGATCTCTGCGCAGAGGGGGGTATGAGATAAAACACTTCAGAGCCAACATCTTCCACCAACTTTGCATCAGGTACGTGGTTATGAATGAACCGTGTCACTTGTGATATGATACAAGAACCACCTAAGAAAGTTTAAGAAAATAACACAATGCTGCATTTTACACATTTTAGGGCAATAGTTTATCACTATCTAGATTTTTTTCAGTACATATGAAATGCTTAAACTTTTGCTTGTGGCACCTGTAACACCTGTAATTCTGATTCATAATTTGTACCAGCCATAAGAAAATGGTATATAAAAATATTTTACAGATATATTTTAGAAAGATTTACATCTGGAGGTAAAAACAATATTTTTTATTAATTAGGTTTACAAATTCACAATAATCAAATTTTATAAAATCATCAAAAAACTTTGACTTTAAGGAGATATAATTATTGACTTTGCCAATCTTCATCAATCAAAAGGTACCTCAAGACATAAACAAGTTAACAAGTCTAATATACTAGTGAATTGGTATTTAATAATTTTAGTGGTATACATGCCACATTACTCCCCTTCCAGAATTTTATCAGTGATAGAATTCAATGAACGAATGACTAATTGATGCTATTTATTTGTTCTTTTCACGCATAATTTTTTTTTATTTATTTATTTATTGTCTGGGAGAGTAGTATTTACTTCAAAAGATTTTTTAGTGCTATTTTACGATCAAACCAACTACTCACGATTACGATCAAACTCTTACGATCAAACCAACTGAACTAACTCTAACCGCGAATGATAAAATTGAATAAGACTTGGTTGAGTTAAAATGAATGATTAAGTACTGAGCAAAAGATCGAAATAAAAATAAAAGGGAGCTTTAAAGAGTGTTTAAACACTTTTGAATTGCTTGAAAAATAATAAATAAAAGAAACACTGAACTAAAACATGAATTGATAAGAAATTAGATGCTTACCCCAAGGAGAACTGAACGTGGAATTAAATCCATTGTCAGATAGAACATTGTTTTCAGATAAATCTGATTTTGAATCAACTGTAGACATATCTGCTACACCCTCCTCCGTCATTTCCTAGAAAAGAAGATGCATGTCCAAGTCATGCCACATTGGTAAGGGTTACAATGAACTGGAAACTAAGTAATCTGTTAGTGTAAATTATTTTTTAAATTATATTTCCTACAAAAGTAGATCTGTTTTATGGAAAATATTGAAGTCTGATTTAATACAAATGCCAATACAATGAAATAAGGCTATAAGCCTCCTTACAATTGCAGAGTTCGTGGTTATTGCATGGAAACTGGCTGCATGCTGGTAACAATTTGTGATTAGCTAAAAGCTAAAATTTACAAAAAGGAACTAAACAAAAATTTTCCCATAGGATTAATATGAAATGCATTGACAAGGTCTGGAAAAAACCTGAAATGTTATGTTTTCATTTTCTTGCGAAAAATGAATTCCAAATGAATTTTAACTAATTTCTAAAATGAAATTTTGCAATTGAAAGTATCTATTAAACACAATAATATATTTTGTAAAATACAGCTGGAGTATTT